TAATTATGTGATTGCTTTTATTTTTGGAAATATCATTATCAAGTTTTGAAAATTATTTAGCCTTGGAGGTATTGTATATTTCGTCTTCGAATCTTGACCCAGCATTTCTTGTTCCTCTCAAAATTATTTATTTTAGGTGATTTGGCTTAAATCAAGCAGGACTAAAATAATAGGAAAATCAGAGTTAAAATTATAATAACTGGACAGACATATGAAGACGCCAGACAGTTATTAATCATAGCCACAAGAGTCGATTTTTAAGAGAGGTATTTTTCAAGGAGCAAAGCTGGATAGAAGAAGGTTTTTAATATTTGCTGCAGGTGAAGAGAAAGTGTGGATTTTTAAAAGAATATTTTTTTATGAGAAAATTATCCGTAGTAAAAGGAATGTTACTTTTACTACGGATACTTACACCACAGTGCAACATTTTAATTTCCAACAAAATCAATCGTTACTACAATGATGTTGGTAAAAGTCGCCTCTGTGTGTGTGCGTTTTGTGTACTCTCAGTGCAATGACCATCAACTTCAACTTGCAACCAAAAATTCAATGTCCAGCACAACATCTACGTACATACATACATACATATATTGGGAAGCCATTAACTATGATGGACAGAGTCCATACAAAAGATGGAAATCAGTTAACATGAAAAGCAGTTCCAGCATGTATACAGGGTATCATCGTTTATACGAACATAACAACAAGAACGGTTTACCATCCCTTGTTTCCAATCGACTCCTTGATACGGGTCGAAAAACGTAATTCCTTTACAAGTACTCACTTACACACATATACATACTGGCAGAGATACACATACAATATAATATATCTTGACTGTTTACATGAAGTCAATTACAATTGACAGTGATCACTGACTGTTTGCTTCAGCTTCGGCTATCAGGGAAAAATGGTAATGCGTTAAGACACTGTAATGTGTAATTTATGTAGACCGATTGACTGGAGTTGGTGGCTTTGGAACCACGAAAATTTGTAGTCGTTCATTTTTTTTCTCCAAAAAACGCATATGGGTAGAAATGGTCGGTTGAATACAACCTCAGTTTTAACTAGGTATTTATTCCTAGGAAGTACTCACTTTCGTGTTGTTTGTGAGTGTTTATGTTTACCATGTAAATCGAGAAAATAAATTAACTGCCAATAGTTTTGTATGCTTTTTTGTCGATTTCCAATGTTGTTCATTTTAAATGGAAGAAAAGGCATGTCATCGACAGCCACACTTGTAGATAATTGAATTTCTATATTCCATTGAATATCTGTGGACATGTCTGTATAGCACACATAGTGTTTGACTATTGATTAAAATGTGATAAAGGGTAATTGTTGCTAATAGGACAACGACTTTTGATATTTGATTGATGTCTATTAAATATAAAATAAATATAAAAGAGTAAATAGGGGAACATTAAAATAAATAATTTTAGTAATAAATAATAATTCAAATTAATGTAGAGATAAGAAAACAAAGAAGCTCATATCAAAAAATAAAAAAAAATTAAACCTATATGATTTGTAACTTTTAAATCATTAGTTAACGAATTTAATTGAAACACATTTTGTTTGAGAGGAAAAATATGGTTGAAGTAGAAACACGGATCTGTTTGGAATTTCAGCCAAAATACTAATTCCTGTTCTCAGGCCTTAATGAATGCTCGTAAGGAAGAGACGATCGTCGAAATTCACGTGAAAACGACATTTCAAAAATGGGAATATGGGGGCAATTGACCTACATGAATATTTTTTTCCAGCAGAACATTTTCCAACAAGAAGGGTAGGTCCTCAGAGAACTCAAAATGTCGAATTAAAATCAATTCGGCCTGGAAAAATGTGACCTTAAACGTGGCGAGCCTTTATATTGAGACTATGTCAAAAAACCTAGAATTTTATTTACAAGAAGGTTTTCAACCATCTAAAAATCACTTGGGACCCTTTATGGGGTTTTGTCAAGATCTGGAACTAAACTGAAATTTGCTTTTTTTTCTCAAAGCAAGCAAAAATTGGGTAGGAAATGCGCCTAGGATCTTAAAAATAACAATTATGACTTGGAATCAAAATGTGGACTTTTATTGATAAATTTCTGTGAAAAGGAGAACTTTTACCTTCCATTTGACCATTTTCAGGAATTTTGCGGTTTATGGCAGAAATTGACCAACGTGGAAAATGTTCTCCAAGAAGTAATTTTAGCACATGAGAACCCAAAATGTCAATTATAATTAGATTGGAAAATGAGGCAGTTACATTGAAATTATACGAAATTAGAGGGATCTCTAAATATAAGGACTATATAAAAACTTGGATCTATATTGGCAATTTTTAAGAGTAATGCTGTGAAACCTCACATACACGAGAACATTTCCTGTTTTCAATTCGAAATTTTATACAGAATATATTAAGATTCGATGAATCAAGTTTTAATACAGAATACATAAGCATTTTTGGGGTGGACCTTGAACAAAAATATTCATTGAACAATCTACGCTTTGATGGAGCTAGAAAAAAATATCCTTTAAAAAATCTACCCTCTGATGGAAATTGAAAAAAAAAAAATATTCTTTAAAAAATCTACCCTCTGATGGAAATTGAAAAAAAATTCTTTAAAAAATATACGCTCTGATGGATCTTGAAAAAATATTCTTTAAAAAATATACGCTCTGATGGATCTTGAAAAAATATTCTTTAAAAAATATACGCTCTGATGGATCTTGAAAAAATATTCTTTAAAAAATCTACGCTCTAATGGACCTTGAAAAAAATATTCTTTAAAAAATCTACGCGCTGATGGACCTTGAAAAAAATATTGTTTAAATAATCTACGCCCTGATTGACCATGACAAAAAAATATTCTTAAAAAACCTCTGTAAGTCTTTCAAAAAAATGTCTTTATAAAATCTCGGTTCTGATAGCCCACGAAAAAAATTGATCTTCTAAAATTCGATATTTTGCGAGCTATTCGTGATAATCACTGCCAAAAATTGTATATCAAAATAATATTCTTATCTTATCTGCAGTTCAATCACGTATCACAACAACAAAAATTGTTGCATCAAACAAATCTATGTTGTCAACAGATAAACACCTGTTTTTTGCTAAAAACATTTATCCTGTGGTACTACTTAACCCTCGACAAGTGGTAGAGATTTCATCGTAGATATAATAATAGTTATGTAATATGTAAGACACAACCACAACACATACATATGCATGTATCACCATATCTACAACTAAAACAGCTCTTGTGCTCACTCATTAACGTGTAACATGACATTGCAACAAGAAGTGTGAACATTTTCATAGTAATTAGAATGTTGTCATAAAAAAAACTGAGGTGGAGAGGGAAAATGAGAGGAAAAAGAAAGCAAAAATTCAAACACTTTAGAAACGGCTATATGGAGTGGAAGCTTGGCATGTATTGCTGCTTCAATGAAACTTTATCTCAAGTATTTCGGTTGAGTAGATGATGATGACGATGCTGATGCTGACGACGCTGATGAAGAAAAAGAGACGAAACATTAAGTGGAATGATGTTTCGCAGCATTTAGTGCCACAGTAATGACAAAACGTTGAGCCAACGACAACAAAAAGAAAGACTTACTAATGAGGCACTTGTTGTACCCACCACTTTAATACTGATACACTTCACTAACTTCTACTTTGAGGACAGGGTCGCTGCTTTTCGAATACTGGTGAGGTGCGTACGGTAATATGGTAATATGTTAATTGATATAATTTATAGAATTTTAGAAATTATTTTACATCAAATATTTGCAACAAAAATTTGAACACTTTAGTGATGATTTGAAATTAACTGAATCTATGCTCTGATGAACCTTGAAACAATTTTTCTGTAAAAAATCTACTGTCTGATGGACAATGAAAAAAAAATTTTCTGCAAAAAATCTACTCTCTGACGGACCTTGAAAAATAAATATTCGGTAAAAAATCTACTCTCTGACGTACCTTGAAAATAAATATTCGGTAAAAAAATTACTCTCTTATGGACAATGAAAAAATATTCTGCAAAAAATCTACTCTCTGATGGACCTTCTGTTTGTCCTTTTCAAAAATATTCTTAGAAAAATCCACGCCTTCTGTTGGTCCTTTTCAAAAATATTCTTAGAAAAATCCACGCCTGCTGTTGGTCCTTTTCAAAAATATTCTGAGGAAAAATCCACGCCTTCTGTTGGTCATTTTCAAAAATATTCTTAGAAAAATCCACGCCTTCTGTTGGTCATTTTCAAAAATATTCTTAGAAAAATCCACGCCTGCTGTTGGTCCTTTTCAAAAATATTCTGAGGAAAAATCCACGCCTTCTGTTGGTCATTTTCAAAAATATTCTTAGAAAAATCCACGCCTTCTGTTGGTCATTTTCAAAAATATTCATAGGAAAAATCCACGCCTTCTGTTGGTCCTTTTCAAAAATATTCTTAGAAAAATCCACGCCTTCTGTTGGTCATTTTCAAAAATATTCTTAGGAAAAATCCACGCCTTCTGTTGGTCCTTTTCAAAAATATTCTTAGGAAAAATCCACGCCTTGTGTTGGTCCTTTTCAAAATTTCATAAAATATTCTTTAAAAAAGCTCGCTGTATAGACCTTTAAAAAATATTCCTTAAAAATTCTACGCTCAAATGGACTCTGTTGGTCCACCAAAAATATTATTCCACATTATAAAGTTATCTTCTTTTGCATTTCACTTGACGACATATTTAACTTTGAGGTTATATATATGTGAGCTGATTGGGAAGTATTTTATGTGGTATTTCGTCAAATTCCTCTTGGCAATATTATGATGAGGATGATGGGGAAAAAGTGTCAAGGTAAAGGAGTTTAATGTTGTATAAAATTTCAAACACTACCACCATCATAACTATACACACACAACACTTGATATTAAAAATAATTTCATATAAAAGAAAAACTACTTATACAAGTATATAAAAAATAAAAAAATAAGTATTAAAAATGCTGAAGAGCATGTACTTACTTGTATTCCTCCGTTTCATAGGTATGCAGCGGGCACGAGGAGAAACATTTGTGTTCATGCATCACTAAATGATGTTCACATGATGTACAATAATCGGGACGATCTTGACATGAACCACAATTAGCTTCACAGGGAACACAAGTTTTGTTGTCATAATCTGGAGCAACAAAAAAGAAAAGAAGAAGAATGAATAAACAATGAAGGAGCAGATTAAAAAATAAATAAATATGTACAGATGAAAGTTATTTTTTCTCCTTTTGTATTTTTCTCAGAGACTTTTCAACTTACTTTCATAATATCCTTCAGGGCAGACCTGCAGGCAAACAGCCAAGTCGGTTACATGCAAATGGGCTGGGGCACATGTTAAGCAGCTATCTTGGCCAGCGCCGGCACAGGTTTCACAAGATTCATGGCAAGGCCAGCAGACGCCACCTTGGTTGGGGAATGAACGTGGAGGACAGCGACTGACACAGGTGCTTTAAATAGAGAAAGGTATAAAAATTAAATTTTGAAAATATTTTTGAAATTTTCTGCAAAAAATACTCACTTATCTAAACGATAATGTTTACAGGCGACACACTGGGTCGGTCCCCGACCATAACAACCCTGCGAATCACATTCAGGATCACAATCATGTAATACCAATTTATTATTCGAATCGGCCATAACATTTTGTCGCTGGGGTGTGGGTATATTATGACCATCGACAGTGGTAACAGCCTGTTCCGGATTAGAACCAGCTCCGGTGTAGAGATTTTGGAAATTTAAAAAACTACTAAATTGATCGGTATTTATGGGTTGTCCGAGATCCGATTCCGTTGGAAATGTATATACCGGATCACGGATGGGTTGAGATACCAGATCACTCTTCAAACGCATTGGTTGTACAGCTGTGCCATAGAAAATCAATTGCCATTTCGATAGGATGCCAGGTTGATTGACACGACGGCGACCACCATTGATAATTTGCAACGTCCATCTACCCTCAGCCTTTTCACCCCAGAAATGGACACTCAAGAATGGCCAATCATCGAAATTCGATTTGATTATATCTCTGGGTCTCTCAAACAACAAAGTACTGGTCGTACCCATAGGCGAGGTAAGTAAAATACGTAAATTACCCCGAGGGAAGAAACGCAGAGTTATACGGCACTGTACATGTTCCAAATAACGTACTTCATTGATGGTTCCAGCACAACCATTAACATCCATATGAGTGGCCAAAGTGTAACCATAGGTCCCTTCGATTTTACGATCTTCATTATTTTCTCGAGATTTGCAAATATGTTGCGGCGGTACGGTAGTCCATTGTTCAGCCAATGAGACCATAGCTCCAGCATCCATTAGACCGTAACCGAATTTATGTGAATACTTGCGTTTAACACCATTCAACATCCAACCAGATTCCTTCTCCAAGGGTGCAGGGCGAGAGGTGTATACCACCAAATATTGCATATCACGCCAAGTTAAATTAGGGTTAGCTTCCAGAGCTAAGGCGCATATACCAGCAGCCAAGGGGGCGGAGGCCGAAGTACCAGTATGTTCAACGGTACAAATGTGATCGGGTCTCAGGCGGCCATCCATATCAACGGTAGCAACACTCTTATCGTGGCCGGGAGTTCCTGAACTGTATGTGGTGGCCAGAGTCGATGAACATTCTTCCAAATACCAGGGTTTGAAACTGAAAAGAGAAAAAAGAAGGAAATGAGTGAGTACTTGAAATATATGTACTAAATATTTCATATTACGGGTATTACGAACAAATCGGGGCAATGGAACCTAAGCGAAAAGAATATTTTTTTTTTAAATTCAAATTTGATTTTTTCAAGAATGAAGTATTAACACACCCGGGTTTTTAAAGAATATTTTTTCAAGGACCAGCACAAGGCGTGGATTTTTTAAAGAATATTTTTTCAAGGACCAGCACAAGGCGTGGATTTTTTAAAGAATATTTTTGAAAAGGAAAACACGAGGCGTTGATTTTTAAAGAATATTTTTGAAAATGAACAACACGAGACGTAGATTTTTTAAAGAATATTTTTGAAAAGGAACAACACGAGGCGTAGATTTTTTAAAGAATATTTTTGAAAAGGACCAACACAAGGCGTGGATTTTTTAAAGAATATTTTTGAAAAGGACTAACACAAGGCGTGGATTTTTTAAAGAATATTTTTGAAAAGGACTAACACAAGGCGTGGATTTTTTAAAGAATATTTTTGAAAAGGACTAACACAAGGCGTGGATTTTTTAAAGAATATTTTTGAAAAGGACTAACACAAGGCGTGGATTTTTTAAAGAATATTTTTGAAAAGGACTAACACAAGGCGTGGATTTTTTAAAGAATATTTTTGAAAAGGACTAACACAAGGCGTGGATTTTATAAAGAATATTTTTGAAAAGGACTAACACAAGGCGTGGATTTTATAAAGAATATTTTTGAAAAGGACTAACACAAGGCGTGGATTTTATAAAGAATATTTTTGAAAAGGACTAACACAAGGCGTGGATTTTATAAAGAATATTTTTGAAAAGGACCAGGCCAAGGACCATCACAAGGCGTGGATATTTTAAAGAATGTTTTTCAAGGACCAGCACAAGGCGTGGAGTTTTTAAAGAATGTTTTTAAAGGACCAGCACAAGGCGTGGCCTTTTTAAAGAATGTCTTTCAAGGACCAGCACAAGGCGTGGACTTTTTAAAGAAATTTTTTTCAGGTTCAACAGAGGCGTGGATTTTTAAGAAATATTTTCTCTAGGGCCAAGAGAAGACAGATTTCTGTTCTATAGGTCCAAGAGAAGACAGATTTCTGTTCTATAGGTCCAGGAGAAGACAGATTGAGAGAATATTTTTCAAGGGCCAAGAGAAAACATATTTTTGAAGGGTCAAGAGAAGATAGATTTTCAAACTAGTATTTTTTCAAGGGCCAAGAGAAGATAGATTTTCAAAGTAATTTTCTTCTTCTTCTTTTTTACGGGACATTTTATTCGAGGATCTCTAGACAAATAAGTAAACGTAATTAGATATCCAACCGAAATTTCAAATTAGTTAGGTCCAATCACATCGCTGGATCATAGGATCGCACAAATAGTTACACGTTGATAAAGGAATGGCTTATCAATAATAACTATTGGGTTTTCCGAGCCCCAGATGTGACAAGTTTGATTGTGGACATAGCCACAGAGTTGGTTATGGACCTCATCAATCAATCAGATTTTTTGATTAATATTTTTATGCGCCAAAATGTGGCACAGGGTATTATGTCTTTGTGTATATACTTGTAATGTAGAAATTTTGCACAGCTCAAGGCCCAAGGAGGAACCCTCTTGAAATTGGTGAAAATCGGCTGAGGTAGCTCCCACGTATAATTTCTGCAATCTCTCAAAGTTTGACAGATTGAGACGAAAATTACGCCTCATTTTGAAATTGAAACTCTATTATTAACCTATATATTTTTCAATAATTTTAAAATTTTTAAATGTTTTACTTCTATTTTTCAATTTAAAAATCCTTTCACATATATTTCCACAAAAAATAAGCATATTTTTGTGTGCACGCTCGAAGTTATTGCAGCTGTATTAATATTTGTACGAAATGAATATTTATTGGCTTTCAACAAATTAAATATGGTTTATATAAAAATGAATGCGAATGTGTGTGTGTGCGTTTTCGCCTATTAGGGGTTTTGTTGTTGTTAAAAGCTTTCACTTGAACATTATCGATTGCGGGTATAATTATTCATTAATTCTCGTAAGCGACCACCAAACGGCCACCCTACTGTTCTGTTGCTGGTTAATCATTTGGCCTGCCACATTATCATATTTTATTTGAATGCATTTTTGTTGTTGTTGTTGTTGTTTTGTTTTTGGTCCTGGCTTTATTTATTTATTTATTTTTATTTCAGTTCTGACATTGGCAATTTGGCTGAACATTAAGTGGGCCAAGAGATAATGAGCTGGATTATGTGGGAGTTTATAAGACTAGTAAGTGGATTTAAGTTGGTTGGTGTTTTTTGTTGTTGTTGTTGTTGCAATTTTAAATTGCATGTTTAACGACTTGTTAATAACCAACAAATGAAATAACATAAATACTATGTTGAATTTTTTATTGGTGTGAGCGAAAAAGATTAAATTAATTAAATCCAAGGTGGATTTGTGGATGTTGGGGGTGGAAATTAATTGAGGATATTTAAGGGTCAGATTCAATAATAAAGGTAGGCCCAATGAAAAATATAACACTTTCTTCACAAATTATTAGGAGAAGTTTAGAAATATTGTCTTTATATTCTCAGACAATTAAAAAAATTAAAAAATAAATGGCAAATCTCTATGTGCTTCTGCCCTAATAAAAATAAATGCCCTTATATTTTCAATTAATTAATATTTATTTTGTTTAATTTTTACTTACCCTCCTTGAGTAGCACTGGATATGGACAGGGTGAAAATCGAGTTGGTATAACCATCACAGTTACAGGAATCGGTATAACGTCCACCATTACCGGAAGCCCATACGAAAATTGAACCTTTACCCTGACGACCACTCGTCACACCATAAATAAATGCACGACGAGCCAATGGCCCAGGACCATCTACAGTCGAACCATCATCTTCAGGACCCCACGATGCACTGTAGATATCAATGTGTGATGGATTTAAACTTAACGCTTGAGCTTCGACGACATCATTCACCTTGCCATCCAACATACGAACACCTGAAATTAATGATAAATAATAAAAGGTGATTAATTATTGCGAAGATAAACTTATTAAATATAAATTAATTATTACTTATTAATATAATTGTTCTGCATATTTTGAATCTGAAACATGTGCTGAAAAAAGTTCCCCATGTTTTTGCATGGTATTAAGATCTGGTCTGATATTAGGAATTTTGAAAGGCCTACTTTTATTTTCGAACCAACAAAGTGTGTAAAATTTTCATGTTGGTTACTACAAAAAATTTCTAATATGGGTTCGCATTTCCGTAATATATAAAACGGGAAATTTGTGTATATTTCTAAAAAAACTTCTCATTTTGTGGAAATTTAAAGGTTTTAAAATTAATTTGGTATTTCTGGCTCTTAGGCATTAAATACCTTTTGAATTATAACAGTAATAAATTCGCTTTGTCGGAGCTATTCGAAGGTCCCAGATATAATTTACAAACTAAGTGACAATTTTGGGATATTGGAGGGCAAAATACTATCTGTCCTCATATAGTTGGGTGTAATTTGCCATTTCGAGTTCTCGGAAGGTGAAAATACCATCTTCATGATTTTTTCAATGTAGCCTTAAGTCCCAGCTGTATTTTACAAACATAAGATCTTTTGGAAGATATACAGGTTCGGCTCAGACCAAATTAAACCCGCTTATAACTGATAGTTACAGGATGATACTAGAGATAAGTAAATCGACTTTCGACTAATCGATTAATCGACTTTTTGTGCTAAAGTAAAGAAAATCGAAGTCAACTTTTGATCTTTGAGGAAATTTTGAAGATCGACTTTCGATTTTCTTTATAAATACTTGGTCTATTATCACAAAGCCCAAAAATTACTCATACCAGAACTGTATTTAATATATTAAAAACAATTTATATAAAAATCAAAATTTTAGTCGATTTTGCATAAGTCGGTAAAAGTCGAAAATCGATTTTGAACAGGTTTTACAAAATCGAAAGATCGTAAAGTCGACTTTTTAGTCAAAGACAAAAATCGAAAATTCTCGAAGTCGACTTTTGGGATCAACTACGTATCCCTAGATGAAACCCTGACCCAAAATGGTTAGTCGTTCGGAGGAAAAAATAGGTCTTACTTAATAAAAACCGGTGTTGCATTAAATTTCAATGCAGGACTAGAAATTTATTTTATAAGCCCCTAAAATTTTAACACATGCTCAAAATAGACTGAATGTTGACGTTCACTCTAATCGCTTCGTTCCAAGCGGACATATGCCATCAGCGAAGGAACTGTTAATAGCTAAGATATGGAAACATATTAGGTTGGGGAAAAATAAATCCATTATTTTTATACTATAGGACTTTATTTAACATGCTTCGGAATGTTCGATTTGGGCCAAATTTTGTTTTATGATTCGTTGTCATTTTAAAGGTAACTTCATAATGCCCCTCTTTCATAGAAGTCCTGTTCTCTATTTGAAAACAAACTCTAGTACTCCTAGGCAGTTTTACAATCCTCCCTAGATACCAATTTTTATCACTAAAAAAATTTCGCAATGCAAGAAAAATATGATAATCGCTTGGTACCAAGTCCGGACGGCGGATGCATTAAAATATCCCAACCAAGCTCCAGAAGTTTCTGGCGAGACACTGTAGATGTGTGTGGCCTAGCGTTGTCCCGGTAGAACACGATACCTCTCCTGTTGGCCAATTCTGATCAATTGCTATCTCCAAACGTCCAGTTGTTGAACGTAGAGATCAGAATTTAGCATTTGGCCATATGAAAGCAACTCATGATAAATAATTCCCTTCCAGTCCCACCAAATGCTTAACAGAACCTTCCTGGCTGTTAGTCCTGGTTAGGCCACCGTTTGAGGTGCTTCAGCGCTCTTTGACCACGATCGTTTTCGCACAGGGTTATCGTATGTGATGAATTTATCATCTCCAATCAGCATGAAAATTCGACCCTTCCTTTTTTCTGTTCATTGGTGTGGCACCCAAACATCGACGGTTTTTAGCTCCTGGGAGATGCTACGATTGCTAACATGCCGGTCAACTTCGATAATTTCTCGAATTTTATCGACATTTTCATAATGGATTTGTTTTTCCCCAACCTAATATAAATGTTCGTGGTTTTACCTTCTATCCTGCAACGATTCCCGTGATCAAAAGCAAGTTAACATTTTAAGTGTGGATATTATCCGGCCTATATAATATGTTGATTACAAAGAAACCTATATTTTTGTAGCATATGTTTCAGTTCCTTCATCCTGACATCAATCCTCATAATTGAGAAACTCATTCACCTGTCCCATGAACATTAAAGATCAACATTGGCTGGTTTACAATCTGTGTAATTTCTCCGCCATATTTTCATAATCCTAGTTTTCCGATCGCCAAATTGATATTGGTAATTTTGAAATTGAATTAATTTTACTTCATGTATAAAAAAAGAGATGATGCTGTAACTGCAAATCTAATCGAAGGGTTAATTTGATGAAGGGTTGAAGGTCGGGAAGCACAAGATTTCTTATGAAGATTATTAAGGTGTGAAATCATCTCCATCAGATTCTATAGGGGGTATATATATGAGAATATATCGTAAACTGTGACTGCAAAATCTGGTCAAATGTATGGCTATAGGAGGACTTTGATATCAGTATGGCTTCAGTTGATTTGTACTATTAACGTCGAATCGAATAGGATCGAATTAAACAAAAAACCGAAATTAAATGTTTTGAAACCCAATCTCCCTCAAACAAATCTCAGCTCCACAAGAGCAATGATATTTTAAAAAATACGATCGTGGTGCATCCAGAGATTGTCAATCATGGATCCATGGGAATGAGCCCGAAACAAAACAGAAATTGACTGTTCCAATGAAAGTTGTTCGCGGAAGAATCGCTTTGAAATAAAAGGTTGCTAGAATCGTATGAGTGACCTACCATATTTTTGAGTCGGCGGAGAGGATTCATTGCACACTATTACAATGCGAGTTTTTAAACATCGGCTTAAGTCATTGCCTACTCTCCCAAACATCGCGTTGATGTTGATTGATAATTATTGCCTCCCTGGTTTCGACATATATACATATATATATATATATATATATATATATATTACAGTTGTCCACTATATTACAGTTGTCTATATAATCGCATTTCAAACGATAACAATTCAGTATATCTATAATGTCAAATTTTTCTTCCAACTATTTTTAGAAGAGAATTAAATAAAACCTACTTGATAGCGATAGTGGTAGATAATGATTCTCACGGCTTAAATCAACCAAAAGATGCTATCTCTGATGTATATACATATCACCTCTTATTATATACATTAAACATGAAATTATTACAATTATTGAAACTCTTCAATTAGCTCTTAAATAGCTATTTATTATTCACAAGTAGCTCCTTCCGGATGGACAATGGATGAAAATAGCACTGAACACTCCTTTAGCGATGGATGTTGTGATAATATTTTAAAAATTCCTTTTATCTTCGATTTTTTTAACAACAACAAAATTCCACTCTGTTTAATGTCTTATTTATTATATTGACAGAGGATATTCTCTCGCCTGCTGCTGGTGGTGTGGTGTCCTGAAGTTATTCAATGAAATCTTATAAACCCACTTCAACAAAAGACAAAAATTGAGCACGAGAGAGGGAAAGGTAGCAAGAGATGTAGAACAAAAAAACAACACATGACTATAAGACATTCCCCGGGTATTGGAATTCTGCTTGTCATACCATAAATTTTCCTTTAAACAATCGATTCATCTTTTACAGTTAACTTCATGTATCGTATGAGTATGTGTGTCATACCAATACATTGGAAGAAAAAATGAGAGAGAAAAAAATCATAACAAACACCAAAGACTATTATCTGATGAAAGAATGTTTTTCATATGAAGTAAAGAATGTCTGTTGTTTTTCTTGTTTCGGCTTCTTCGATGTTTTTTCATCTCGTTGCTGTTGCTTGTTGTCGAAGGATGAACAGAACAGGAAAAAAACGAATATCCTTCATCAAGTCCAATGACAGTTTAAGTACTTTATGGGGTGTTGTTTGTTATTCCCTTAAGCGGTAAACTATAATGGAGGTGCGGCATCGTTGGCTTGTTGGAAATAAGAACAAAAAACCAGAACAGAGGTATGATATCTTGTGTGCTGGGAGTATTTTTTCTTTTAGTCCTTGTGCCAGTATTGTACTAAAATAATGGCATTTAATTTTCAATAATAAATGCTTGAGCATCCTTTGGTTGAGTTAAAAAGGTATATTTATATAGAAACTAAAATGGATGCTGTTAGTTCGAATATTTGATAGGGGCATTAAATTATATTAATCATAGTGATATAAGTAACTGTCAAATATGTTTGAGAAATATCAAACTAATATAAACAAGGATTTTGTAGATAGATCCCAGTAGGAATGTCGAAGGGATATTGATAACGAATTTAGTGTGTATTCATTGTGGGCAATACATAAACAATTACAACAAAAAAGTACATATACTGATTCATATCTTAGGTGTGAGTGTGGCGCCCAAATTGTGAAATTATAGAAAATTGTAATATGAAGCGAGCTTTTAATAACTGGGGAAGGGTATGCTTATTTTCCCAATCTTCGGACGCTTATTCCTTCAGATAAACGAAATAGCGGTAGCACCTTTTACACATTATTACAAGATACTTTGACTACTTCTATTGTGTTTTTAGTTGTGGAAAAAATTGGTTTCGATTTTTTGGTGCAGAGACGTATAGTTCTTCTATAAATAGACGATTTTCTAACACAGATTTTCAGCAGACATAAGACCTCCTATAAAGGTAAAGTAGACCGAAACAAATCTTGGAGGTCTACAGATCTTCAGAGATATAAGACTTCCTCAAGAGGTTCTGTAGACAGAAAGACTTTATCTCCTATAATGGTAAAGTAGACCGAAACAAATATTGGAGGTCTACAGATCTTCAGAGATATAAGACTTCCTAAAGAGGTTCTGTAGACAGAAAGACTGCAGAGGACCTCTATCGATAG